ATTAAAACATGAGAATTAGGTAAATCTAAAATCAAGTGGAAACCTATCTAAGGATTTGTATTGATGCTTGAAAGCATTTGATGATTTGTATGTGCTTATAGAAAAGATAATTCATTCAAATGTGGTTGTGTCAAGTTAACAATTTTTTTTGTGTTTTTATCTACGTCTTAAATGTTTCTATGATTATATAATTCAGACATCATGTCAATGAAGAAAATCTAGACAGTGAAAGAGTGGATTTCCTTCCTTTGTATTAGAATGCACTGCACGTGAACACTGTGATTTGCATGACGTTACATCGGATGAATGGACCAAATCAAGCAGGAATTCTATAAGATAGTTCAGAAGTTTAAACAGCACATGAGTGTTTGCGTGGTACGCCCTCATTTCTTAATGGTAGTGATTAATCTACAGTTTCTGATACTTAGTTTTGCTCACATTATTTATATCGACCTTTGTTGTCTTTCCTGACATAATCATAAGCCAATCAAGTAAGTTTTTGCAGAAGTAATCAATATCTATTTTACTTCTTATACGTTTTGTTATACAATTTCTGGCAAAAAAACATTATATGTCCTTTGCTGAAGATTTATTTAAGAAGTCTGCACTGTTCAATAACGAAGAATTTAATTAATGGTCTGTCACGAATTACCATAAATATTTAAGTTGTATTTACATTATAAGTCATTTTGCACACTTTGGAAACCCAGTGCATGTAGAACCAGATAAGATGTCCCATAATGTTATATAATCTCACTAGGTGACGGTTTTTGCATTGTAACTGCGAAGTTGTTTATATGGAACCCTAAATCTTTTTTTGACATCGTTTTTACGAGTACATAATTGGTAAATTATATTCATTCTTATCACTTATTTATCTTTATCAAAATAAAGAAAAAGTTGTCCTCGTAAACTTTATAATGAAGTTAAATGATTTACTGCCAAAAAAAAAAAAAATCGCGACAATAAACACTGCAGCAATGTTAGTTAAATTAGTATTACTTACCTAGTGTAAAGTATATATTAAATTTTCATATTCGTTGTAAAACTATCATTACCTTCGGTAAAGGACTCTCAGTTTTTATTCATGTACATGTATACATGTACTTTACGGAAAGTAAGTAATACTTATTTTTGTTATAATTTCTCTCAATGCTTACTTTTCAATGCAAGTTTTGAAGCTCAAGTTGGTGATTTAAACATCTTAATTCTGATTAATTTTACAGATAATGGCCATTTGTGACTTTTATTGACTAAAGGAAAACTTGGAAATAGAAAGCAGAAATTCCAAATCTGTCTGTTGTTTGTTATAGTTATGCCATATAGAGAAATGGTGTTCATTCTGCCCATTTGCTTATTGACCATATTGCAGCTATAATTTCATAATTCCGTAAAGGTTTATACAGAGAAAATACAAAAATTCGGAAAATTTTATATACTTACCATTTCGGCTAAAATTCTTCCCTCGATGGTTTGATTTTTCTTAATATCTTCTACCGGAAATGGCAAGATTGTTGATACCCAAGTGAAAGTTGCGACCGCCTTTTTGATTTGAAAATTTGAGGAGAGACTATATTGTTTTATTGGAGGAAAGAGCACAGAGTTGGTGTTTTTGTCATTTGTTATGATGAAATAAAAAAGGGATGCTTACTCCTCCTATGCACCTAATCCCACCTCTGATGTTTCCAGAGATCCGTGTTCCTGTTCATGATATGTTTTGTTTAATGAATGTTTGAGATTGATCAAGGTAGTTATCTCCCCCTTTTCATTAGAGAGCATACACCTCTTGTGGATTTTCACGAAATATCTCATGTTAATCCTTGTTAATCACTTTCGACAGTCTCTTCACTTCAAACATAATAAACTCTTCCTCTATCCTCAAACCGGATCATTTCAAAGTCGTTTCGCTATTTCGTATAAAACACGCTAAAGAACAAGTGCACTTATGGGCCACGGTTAAAAGATGAAAAAATGAAGATTCAAATTAAGCATAGTTTTTCATCTCATATCATCAGTTGATATCTAAACTATAAGATTCAACAAATTTTAGCTCTAAAATATATGTTTATGTGAAGAGCAAGACCATACAATGTGGTAGGGGTCAGCCGACATTTGTGATTTTCTATAGTAAATCGAGGACGGGCATTCATTTGAAAGCCTTTGTTTATTGCCAGCCTAACCTTGCTCAAATTTGTGCCAAAGACAAATTTGTTTTATTTGTTTGTTGTTTAATGTCCCTCTCGAGAATTTTTCACTCATATGGAGACGCCAGCGCTTGCTGGTGGAGAGCTGCAAATTTTGACCTATACCTGCACTCAAGGCCATTGAGCGGTGAGGGGTCTTTTTTGTGCCAGCACCTACTGCGACACGGGACCTCGGTTGAAACGGTCTCATCCGATGGACCGATCTCCACGTCCCACAATGGGATTCGAACCCGCGACATAAGGAGCCAAAGACAGAAGACACACTATACATTTATAAAACTTGTGTGAAAGTAGGAGATTTGTACAGCATTAGGCTGGTACTTAAAATATTAAAAATGCATGAAAAGTTCAGTGTTTTTACTATATCAAGCGAGAGCAGTTAACCTGTGTGACCTTTATTGAACCCACCTGTTGAATAAATTATTTTAAGTAGTCACGTGAGCTCTACCCGGTAAACATTTCTCAAAAGTGCTCATCGTAAAACACAGCCACGTTTTATATCGTTCGCCAAAGTCGTACCGCTTTAGAGATGTTTAGTGTCGTTTAAAATGGCATCATACATAAGAATGTCGAACATTTTTAACATTAATGAAAGACGATTGTACCGGTATTGAAAGCCATAAGAATACACAGTTATAAATAAATACAATAAAATACATGCATGACTGTACATATATCTGATATCAGGATAACCTATTGTAGGTCTGCAGTCAAACATGGAATTTTAAGGAACGTCAAATTTTCTACCAAGTAGTTTATAATGAGGTGCAAACTTTGTGATACTATTCTTATAACAGCTCATGCTTCCAGTGAATTTACAATGTAATCATATCTTGGTAGTTCAGAGAAATTGCTGCATATGATATTTGAAAGAGCGTTAAATATTCCACCGTGCAATTTAAAGTGAGATGTAAACTTTGGGAGACTTTTACTGGCATTACAACTCATGTTTGCAGTTAATCAAACATCATATCTTGGTAGTTCAGAGCAATGACTGCATTTGCCTTTGCGTACAGTATACATTGTAAGTTTTGTTTTCTGGGCTGCTAAAGTACAGAACTAACTGTCGCAGAAAAAGTGCTATGTCGAGGTCATCTCTGAACACACTTGAAATGTGGGAATCTTTTTTTTACTGAGTGAGATCTTTTTTATTTCTGCTTTATAAGCTCGTCTTTACATTGAAAAGGCAATATAAATAAAAAAAAAATGATGCTGAAAATTTATTAAGATAAACAATAACTAAGATATTTCTGTTGAGAATCAGTCGTTTTGGTACAATCTGAAAGGAAAAGCAGATAATAAGTAACAATCGTTGATTGTAATTCTCACATCAATGTAAAATCCATTGTAAAAGAAAGACTGAACTAATGGTATTATATGTTATAAAGTATACAAGAGACAAATAGCACAAGAAAAGTGCCTTTTTGTCAGGGAAAAAAACATCTTAGTAAATTCTTTTCACAGTTGGGTAGATGGTAAGGGTATTGCCGGGATACAAGACATTTAGTAAATTTTGTCTTGGATAGTATCCTGGAAAATTAACTCCACCGAGATAGTATCCATAATTGTATCTGTAGAGCGAGTTAAAGTTGCTATACGGTGAATATCCATAATACTTGTAACCTAGATAGTTGTTGTTGCTGTAACCGCCGAATCCCGGATAGTATCCAAAGCCTGGATAGTATCCATATCCACCAAAAAAGTTTCTACCTGGATATATATAGCCTTGAATGTATAGTTGAGAGTAGCTTCCAAGAAGATTACTGTAAGGTCCGTTACCATAACCTAATGTCCATCTGTAAACAAATGACATTTCAATCGCTAAGTTAAAAGAAATTACAAATATAAATGATGGATTTGATTTGGTAATAGATGAAAGGTCGATATAATAGAAAGGATTTGATTGTAAATTCCAAAAGAAAACAATTCGTACTTCGGCAGAATGTTATATTATATAGAAAAAATGGGGAAATTTCTTTTGAAAGAAGAAAGAACGTTTTTAACATTAGTACGCCCAAGAAATTTGAGTTTTCAAAAATGGTTTGAACATTGGTTGAATATGAGTTTAATATATATGAATATGACGTTAAGGAGGACCATTCTGGAAATAGGCCATAATTTATATAAGGGATTAGTTTCCTTTTGAAAATAGTGTCTATAACTGTCGCAATATTAATTTTTTGGATATTTGTGTAAAATCATATGACAATTCTTAAAATCGTTTAGGGTGAAGCATGTGGTGTATATTGTCTGAAAGAAAAAAAATCCACTTAAAATTGATGTCTTTTGAAACTTTTTAAAGAAAATAAGGAAAATGCAAAAAATTTAGGACTTCAGAAATATCAAAATGATTTTATGATCTTACTGCATGGGATTAAAAGCTTCATTACATTTAGTTTCTATCATCAATTTCATATCTATAAAAATACAAAGCTAGATTTGTATCTAAAACGTATTTTCTTTCCCATAAAAATGCTTATTAATAGATGTTGCATTTTTTTCTCAGAATTTTTGTAGCAAAGAGTGCTTGTATACAAATAAGAAAGGAAGACATAATTTAGATATCAAAAAATTCTCATTCAATTCCATATATGAATGATTCATAATGACAAAGCTTATGTAAGTTTAAAAATCTTACATAATAAATTATGAAAAGGTTAATTTGAACGGAACATGCAAAATAAAGCATTAATGATATAATTTATCTGCAACTTCAGTTGAATTATAGATGATAACAAGTAATTCATCATACCCAGAAATCTAAATCACGTACACGTATTTAATGGTTTTACTCACGGTGTGTGAACCTTCTTGTCGTAACCGGCTATTGCCAGAGCAATGGACAATGACAAAACAAGGGCCTTTAACATGGTGGCAACAACGCGGATACCTGGCGGCAACTACTTGGATACCTAGAGAATAGAAAAGTATAAAATAAAAACAAACGAAATATAATTTTGGAATTTATATTGATTACTTTGAAGAGTGTAGATTTTTTGAATTATGACCTTGATCATCTTCTTCCTTCACCATCAAATCCCTTTTCCAGTTCTTACAAAAATAATATGTACTGCACATATTTACCTCAATAACAATTTCTAAAATTTTCGACATAATTGAGATTGCAAATGTACCTTATGTTAACATCGCTAGATCTGTATTTTTACTTATATAGTAAAGTATGATGGCCAAAGTAATTCAATTTCTCAATTTTTATTGATTTTTTTTTCAAACAAATAATGATTTTCATGTATCAAGCAAATAATGTTTTATACATCACGTAACAATTGTTTTCATTTGTCATGCAGTAAATAGTTCTATATAGTGGAAAGTCCAATATTTTATTTTCCCTTACCGAAGGAAATATAAATATTTATCAAATAGGGGACTTTAGATAATATCACACATAAAAAAAAACCCAATGAAAAATGTACCACAATACTGATGCAAAAATTTATACATGATATAGAAAGAATTTCGCAAATAAAAACAGTTATTGATGAAAAGTACATATTTTTCAGAAATCTACAATATGTATTATTTAGAGAACTCGACAGGTACTGTATCGTAGATACAAATTTGGGGTGGACGAGTGCGTAGCACGAGTCTCCACCCCAAATTTGTATCTAAGATACAGAACCTGTCGAGTTCTCTAAATGATTTGTGACAAGATCATTAAAAAAAAAAAAAGCACCGCCCACTTCCTACCTGTGCAGCATCCAAACTTCCGCCAGAGTTCGTTTGTTCTTTCTGTAGATGAGGCCTCGACGGGGAGTATACATCCGCGGTATATATATATTTTCACGGACAATGTAAGATTTAGTCAGATTAGTTTTGACAACGGGGTAGACGTAACAGACTCGAACTCAATCTTAATTGATAAGGTGGACGATTTAACCTTGTTGTAAATGGAGATTGATCCGAATTTATTTCAGGGGTCTTAAAATCTCAGTTAACTATAGATACACATACAGACAGTTTTTCGATGGACTTTGATGTTACGGATTTTTATTTTCTTATTGAAATGCGACATTAAAAACGAAGTGAAAGAGATGTGCGGCAGTCGCCAGCGATAAGGATTTAAGATGAAATTAAAAAAAAAAAATCCTGAAAAATAGACTTGATTGAGTGTACACGAGAAGAGTGGAAAATGGGGGGAGGGGGAGTGCGAATTTCACGTAATGTATGCTGCATCCGCGAACCCATTGGCTTTACTATTTTGAAGGGGACACAAAAAGCAGGGAAAGCAAACAGGTTTTCAGGAATTTCTCCAACATAGGATGTTTTCCATAATTGCGACTTTTCCTTTTCGTTTGGATCGAAATAACGTGTAGATTCTGTGTGGAATAATTTTTTAAAAGTGATTGAGAAATTTTGACATTTTACATTCCTAAGGAAATATTTCTTCAAATTTATAATAGGAAAAAAATCAGCATTTACTATTTATACGTGCTTTTGATAAATTGAATCAGATTTATTTTTAGATCGTGCTGTATTTTAGATACAGAACAGTTGGCTAATACAAGAAAGTATACAGAGCTAATACAGAACGGAAAGTAACTCCGCCCACTGTATTTCCGTTCTGTATTGCTAATACAGAACAGCAAACTTCAAAGAAAAACACAGCAATCGTGTCACAGTCTTATGTACAGTTTCGGAAAGAAACGTAACTTCGTTATGATATATTTTAAATATTGCTGGTGTATTTTTAATGGTCATCAATTTTATTTCTTTATAGGCTTAATAGGCTTTATTAGGCTATTATATTTGAAATATAATAATCAACAACATAAATGTATCTTCTGAAATCATAGTCCACTTCTTGTTGTATAAATTGTTGGAGGTTTGGAAAATTTGATATATGTGGAGTGACAACATTTGGTTTGCAAGGGACAAAGGAAATACTGGAGAAAGCAATGAGAATAATTCACAAGAACAACTTTTTTGTAATGTAGGTACGATAGACAGATAATATATGATATCTTACAGTCAAATATGTTTGGGAAGTCAAGAAAACTACGTACGGTTTATTTTGTATTTACTCATCAGCATTTCCTATGTGAAAACCGTTTATGATTTTATTGTAAGTGATGGATACTTGTACCCAAAGGTTGATATAGATTAACCCTAAGTTAAACATACATACATACCGAAAGTTAAACTACATGGATACCATTAGTCAAACATACGTAAATCAATTTCTATACAAGTACACTTGGATTACATCAAACGCATATCTAATTTAAAAATTATTTTAAAAGGCAAGATAAATATTACCTATTGTAATTCATATTTCAAAATTTGATATGAGATGAGTTTACACCGTAGTTGACACATACTTGGATGTACCTTTTATGTGTTAATAAAGGCTAATTGGAAAATATGAGGGTGGTATTTGTAAATCAATGTTTTGAATGTGAGGTACATGAGGGACGAACTTTATTCTGCCTAGTAATTAAATATGCACTGTACACTAATATCTTAAAATATAATGTGTCGCTTCTGCACCTCATATCCAAAATTACATAAAATTTACATATCTAATATTAAAAGTACCTGCTCACATGATCTATCTTCTAATCTCAAGGAAGGTGAGAAAGCCCATGTTATACCTAAGCGTCTGTGTCGGAATCGGCATCCCAGTAAAGGTTTTTGGAGAAAAATATCTCACCAAGCAGTCTTGACCCTAATTTAGTTAAAATTGCCAGATCTAATACGTTTTATTGACACAAGTTATGTTTCAGATTCTTCTTTTCAGCCACAAATGTCCAAATTAATAGTTTTTTAAAGACGGTAAAAGTATTTGGAGCAAAGTAACTCCTTTGTTGACCAAACTTGCATGAATGATGGGATTCACACTACCAGACTTGCTTCAGATACTGGTCTGACCTACTTTTTCTGGATGAGTAATCAGTTTATTTTGGCTCTAAGTCTCTTTTTTATGTAGCTATAAGCCCTATCTTGACCAAACTTTCACAGATGATATATTTAGGGTTGCACACTACCAGACATGGTTCAGATGCTGAATCATATTTACATTTCCCTGACTATTGTCCAAAAATGTTTAGGAGCAAGCCATTTTAAGTCTTTCTTTAGGATAGAAATCCTCAATCCAACTTGATAGAAAGGCACTCACATATATCTCCGTCTGAGTGATACATGTATAGGGAAAGGTGTATTGTTTAAAGAATTTTGATGAAAATTGTCTGCAGGATTTAGGATTCAACAAATATCTTTGGTGTTTATACATGTATTAACTACGGATCTGGTTAAGCACAATCTATGCTTGCTGAAACCATACTCTCTAGATGAGAGGTAAATAAAGCTGTAGAAGCATTATAAGTTTTTGAGGAGAGCCGGGAAGCCGCTTGAAATAAGTCCTGGCTGGGATTGTCTCAGTTGAACTGAGAACATTACAAGAAACTGTATCTGGGCAAATCCTCTAGCTCTCACAATGTATTTTTGGTTTTCCATCATTTGGAAATACATATAATCATGATAATAATATTTTGACTGTGATTAATATTATTGATATAGGAAATACATTACAATATGTTGCTTTTAAGTAAACATCTTATTATTTATTTATATTTAAATTCATACTGTTCGTTTTCTTAATTTCATTGTTTTTTTTTTTAAATCAATTAAATTAATGTTATTAGAGTTTATTTCTATAATACCTTTTTTTAACTGCAATTGATAAAAAAATATTCTTATATAACATATGATCATTTTGACTTTTACCTTTCTGATGTCTTAATATAATTTCAATTGAATTTTTTCGTATGGAATAATACTAAACCTTGAATTCATAATTTATATATGATGTGTCGATCAATGCTCATTTTTAAACCTTTTGTATAATACGAACTATTTTATAATTCAAATCAATCCTCTTTAAAAGAAATCAAGCATTTAATTCACAATAAAAATATCTCATCTTGAAATTGGTTAATTTGTCTTTATTCAAATATTTACTTTTTATTTATGGTTTTTTCGTTGAAAAGTTTCATTTTCCGCTTTAAAAATGTGTACTTAAAAAATATAGGTAAGGCTAATTTTCCAAAAAGGCCAATTATCACAAGACCAGAAAATACGCAACATGAATTATTTTTATATTTTTAGAAGATAAGAAATTTATTTACAACATATCAAAATTTCTGAAGACATGTATTTGGTACTTATGGCCATTGAGAAGTGAGGGATACTTTCCTGGCAACCTTTACTGCCACCTTTGTTTGTACGGTCTAATCTGAATGACCCGATCCACACCCTGCTGCAGTTTTCGAACCAATGCGATTAAAAGATAACGAAATTATCCGAACATTTACTAAGTTTAAGAACGGCAATATGAAGAGGTTTATTGCCAAATTCAAAAGAGCAGGTAGATATCTTTTATGAAACAGAGTGTGGTCCCGACAAATAACTTTTAAACAATATGCCAATTATGCTGAAATGTTTTGTTTACTTTATAAATTAAATAAATGTGTTCAATTTGGTCAAACTGCGAGAAAGAACATCATCTATCATTTATATCGATACATAGGTCATTTCGCATGTGCGTTAAGGCTAGGTATAGGCGTTTCTATGCAAATGAGCTAATAAAAACGCATAAGAAGTATATAAATTATTCGGAGAAAGTTTTGAATTATTTTCTTTTACATAATTAGTACCCTCGATATGTTATACCCAGTACACATTATGACGTCATATTATGACGTCATTGTTCTTACATACTGGAGGTAATAAAACACATCAACAAAACAGCTTCGGTGCAAGGGATTACCAATTTTAATTTTAAATAAAAATAGTATAATGGTAAGAAGAATATTCTATAGATTAATAAAACTGCTGCACAAATCCTAGGCATTTTCTAACTTGATTGGAATTTGAGGAAA